CCCCCCCCCCCCTCCCGCACCTGTGGCTTCGCAAGCAGCCCTCTCGCCTCTCTAACATTCTCGGCGCCCCTAAAACGCTCTCAGAAAGGCCGCACCTAGCAGCAAGTCTTTCGTCCGCCTCGAAACGCTGGCTTTTCTTCCCTCATAATACGCTCCTCCGGATCCCCCCAAACAGCTGCTATATCACCGAGGCCTCGATGGCTCCCCTCGCCCCAAATAAAAAAGGGAACGTTGACAGCGGTTAACAAACACTCTCCTAACCACTTTTACGTGAATATCAAAACACCAAAATGGCGCAAACCTACGACAAATCAGGCCCAAGAGGTTGAAAACACCGAGTTTAAACCGCGAGGTCCCCCCGCCAACCTCACCCGCTCTCCCATCCCCCACTACCCGGTCAGTTCCCACACTCACCCTCGATCCCGGCCGCGGTCTCGGTCACTCGAATAACCCGACATGGCGTCAATGATTGCGGTTGGTGGGGAACGAAGCGGAGAGAATCGGGAGCGACGAGTCGCTGGAAGTGGCCTCGACGACGGCGAAGCCTTGCGGGGGCGGCAGCGGCGGAAGGACGGCGATGACAAGCGCCGGAGCTGCACAACCAGAGACCGGTGGAAATGAATGAGGTGCCGGCTGGGTCCCGGCAGCCGGTTTTATACCCTGGACCGCCTCCTCCGCCGCAGAGCATGCTGGGAGCCGCTCTATGACCTAATCACCCCGCCCCCTGCGCAGCGGCCGCAACGCCCGCCGGCGTTCCGGGCTCCGCCATGTTCTCGCCCCTCCCCCATCGGCCCTCCACCAGAGACGCCTGTTTTTTTGCTCCTTTCACGACTGGGCCCACCCGCCCCTGAGAAACCACATCCTGCTCTCTGTCGGCTTCACCTTTTTCTCGTCTGCTACACCTCAAGCAATCCACCCTGCCTTTCCCAGGTCCAGCCGTGCAACAAAATGGCCAGCACAGGCCAACCCCTTCTCCCCCCTCGGAGATGTTTACGTCTCCAACCCGCCCTCAGGCCCCGGACCAAGTGAGACAGGAAGGTGGGGCCTGCCATCGTCACGTGACGCCCCTCCCATCTAACGAGCAGACCGCACTACTTTCCCAGTTGGCGTCGGCGGAGGAATACATTAACAAAACAGCTCACCGGAAGTTCACTTCTGATACCTCCGGGAGTCTGGCCAGGACTGCGGGATCACCTGGCTTGTGACCCCACGACCCAAGAACCCTTTAGCGGGATCTTGACCGCGGAGAATGGTATCCGGAGCTCGCAAACCGCCGCCTAGGCGCGTGCTGCCAAAGGAAGTGCTCCTCTAGTGGCCAATCAGCGGCGAGAAGCCGTTTTAAAGTCCCTCCCCTCCCTTCCTCGCCCCCCCTTGCCCCGGTACCCTGTACCCCATCCACCTAGCGCCGGGACTGTGTGGTGCGGCCCTTCCAGGACACCGTCCACCGCGCGTCCGCTTGGAGACCCGCTGCGACCTGCCTCCGCGGCATGGCCGGCTCAGAGGCTGGTGAGTCTCGGTCTGGAGCCCTGGTGTGTGGGGACTGAGGCCACAGCTCCCCGAAGACCTCAGCGCGTCTGGACTAGGTCTGGGCTGTGCTGGGGCTCGTGGCTGCCAGACAGCCCGTCCTAGTCGCGGGTTCTGTGGTTAGAATCTCAGCCTCGCTCCGTCTTCTCTCCGGGCAGCGGTATGGGGTGGAAGAGAGTGGGACCCTGTGGCACGGCGGGTGGGACGCACATCGGGGCCACAGAAAGCGGTCAGTCTTCCTCGGACTCGTATATTTCCCTGGACTCGCGAGTCAGTGTGCTCTCCGCTCCTGCATTGTGGGAACTGAGGCCGTGCCTCGCTTTTATTGGTCTTTCGAGGAATAGTGTTCAAGTCTGTTGATGTCCTCACCGAAGGAGAATTGTGCCTTTTCCCACCCCTCTTTAGTGCCCTCTAGAGTTACCGGCTTTCTCTACCACTGCCTTTCAAAGCGAATGATTTCGTTGTCTAGGACGCTTTCATCCCTTCTGCCGGGACAGAGCACAAACCAGTTGTGAAAAATGAGGGAGATAATGTGCATTGAAGGCGCACACACAGCCACACACGCACCTTTTGTCCAGAACATACTAGAGATGTGTCTAATACTTAATAAAAGTGCTTTCCCCTTAATTGCCACTGATTTCAGGTGACAAGTGTTTCGAGCTTTCTAAATTGAGAAACTCTTAAATTTGGCCAGTCCCAGCAGTATCTGGGGTAGGAGAGGATGTAATACACAAGCACTTTAACAGTATTGGTAATGTGTTCTGAACTTTGGGGGTGTTTTTACATACTTATTTTCTTTTTTATGCATAAAGTACAATAAAAGAGAAGAACTGACAAATGCATTCGCGTATGTGTCATTATTCCAGTTTTTAACTGAATTAATCACCGCGTATTTGGGCACCAGAGAAGTCCTAACTTGTACAAGATAATTGGGTAAAAACATGATCAATACCACTGGGAATTTGAAACAACACCCATTAATTTGTTCCTAGTAACCTTAGTTTATCATTAACAATCTATCCTGTTTATGACATAATATTCTCATTTACTCGTAAATATGTTTTAACTAAAACACCTTCATATTTTAGGTTGCAATAGTACAGATTGGTTTTGCATTATAGATTTGACTACATGGAAATTATAGCACTCTGAATATCATCCCAAGAAGTTAAGTACATTTTTCAAAAATATGCCTTGGAGGACATTTGAAATCTGTGTATCAGATACCTTAAGCAGGGTTCAATGTCTGTGTTGAGGTTGTTGGTTTTTTAAAATGTGTCTTGACTTTTTCCACTGCTATTTAAAACTCATCTCTTTGGACCAGCAGTTAGTGTAATGGCTATGTTGCTGAACTCCCATGTAGTCGACTGAGGTTCAAGTCCCGGACCTGGTAGCTTAAACTCAGGATGGTGGCGTGGCCATCCCCGCTGCGGGGGGGTGGTGGTGATTTCTCACTTTCTATCTCTCAGTGTCTCTCTGTCCTTCTGGTGAGTGCATGCCCCCTATAGCAAAAAACCTCTCAAAAAAAACCCTGATCTCTTTTTCTTCATTCTTTTCAGAGTGGATAACCCTTGCCAATAACCTCCTTTTTAAATGTCACATACACCTGAGGATACATGAACTTGAAGACTGTGATGCTAATGTCTTTATTGCTCTGTATCAATCCATTTTGGGAGAAAAGGTACCAGGTAAGGATATTAAAAAGTGGAAAATTGTGTCTATATCTTATTCCGTTACTGAGCCAGTATTGGAGATAAGAATTGGTGTTTGTACTGCATAAATCTTACTTACTGAGAAGACAGTTAATACATTTAAGTGTCCTGTCATCTTGCTAGTTGTGACTTACTCATTTCTTTCCAAAGTGCTACATCATTTTGCTGTATCCTCAGTTAGATACCTCAGGGTCATTACCCATAGGTTCTCTGTTGTCTCCATTTTTTCATATACGATAGTTTGTGTCCATTACGTACTAAGAGATCTGTGCAGTCTCCTCCTTTCCCATCGATAGCAATGAGCCAGTGCCCTCATCACCTCCAGGAGTGGGATGGCCTCCAGCTGGCACCTGTGGTGCTAGTCTCAACTGTCTCTAGGGTTCGTCTTTCTCAAAAGCAGAGGAGAAATTCCAAACTTAACTTGATATTAAGATCTTTCCACATTCCAGTCTGTCCTGCCCTCTTAAATCTTTGTGGTAATAGTTTCTAGTAGGCAGTTTTAACAGGACACATGGGAACCCTCCTGTACCCTTGCTGGTTTTGTTTTTGCTTTTCCTCTCATGGAAAGCAGCTCACAGTTGTGGGTTAAAGTCCAGTGTTTTGCCTAGTTATAGTCTAATACATTTTTTTTTTTTTTGGAGAGGTTTTCGCTATAGGGCACGTGGGCTCGCCAGACAGACAGAGAGAGACATAGAGACAGAAAGCGAGAAATCCCCCCCCCGGGGGGATGGTCATGCCACAATCCCTTCTCCTCCATTCTCCTCTTGGGATCTTGGGGGACGCACGCACATGCGCCCAGGGTGAGTTTTAAGCCACCGGGTCCAGGACGCAAATTGCGGTCGACTACGTGGGAGTCCAGCGACATAGCCATTACGCTAACTGCTGGTTCCCCAAGTCTAATAAATAATTTATGGACCACTTTATCTTCCTTTACATAGTGCTTGTTGAAAAGCATGTTTACATACATGTTGGGTAAAATAAATATGTAACCAAAATCAAACAATAAAGATTCTACTATGTAGAAATCAGACTGTTAATTTTATCTGTACTTCATAATCTGTTCTGTTTGGACAGAGCTTGCTTTTTTTTCTTTTTTCTTTTCTTTTTTTGGAGAGTTTTTTTTTGGTTACAGGGCACGTGCGCTCGACAGAAAGAGAGAGAGAGAGAGAGACAGAAAGCGAGAAATCACCCCCCAGGGGGGATGGCCACGCTGCAATCCCTTCTCCTCCATTCTCCTCTCGGGATCTTCGGGCATGCACGTACATGTGCCTGGCATGAGTTTAAGCCGCCAGGCCCGGGACTTGAACCACAGTCGACTACATGGGACTCCAGCGACATAGCTGTTACGCTAACTGCTGGTCCTGACAGAGCTTACTTTTGTAGCAGATGAATTTACTTATCCCCAGAAGCCTGGGCAGGACAGAGAGGGGAAACCTTGGGCCCTCCTGAATGCAAAATTATGTAACTTTTTTTCCCCACAGACCTCATAACAATTCCCAAGAGTCAAGAGGATGAGGCACACAATGTCCAAGCAGTAATTGATTCTCTGGCCTTGGATTACCTGCAGGTTAGCCTGTCTCATATAACAGGTTGGTACATATGTAACTGTTAGATAATTATGCATTTTAGTAAAAAAAAAAAAAAAAAATTTAGGTAGACCTTCAGCTAATTAAATGAGAAAGCTTCTAGAATAGACCAAACTGGAAGACTGAGCCAAGATAATTTATGTATATTATGTGTGTGTGTGTATATATATGTACACACACACACACACACATAATATATATACACACACACACACACACATTTTTTTTTTTTGGAGAGGTTTTTGCTGTAGGGTACATGCGCTCCCCAGAAAGAGAGAGACAGAGAAACAGAAAATAAGAAATCACCCTCCAGGGGGGAAGGCCATGCCACAGTCCCTTCTCCTCCATTCTGCTCTCGGGATCTTGGACACGTGTGCACATGCACCCGGCATGAGTTTAAGCCACCAGGTCCGGGGAGGAATCGAATGGCGGTTGACTACATGGGAGTCCAGTGACATAGCCATTACACCAACTGCTGGTCTCGACAATCTGTATATTTAGGGCAACTTTATAGCACAGCTTTTCCAGGAAGGTTGAAGATTGAGTTTGTGAAATATCTGGGTCTGAAAGGTAAGTATCCTAGCTAGTAATTTTAGGTATGTTTTTTGTTACTGTTATTTTAGAGCATATCCATGCTGCTCATTTGTAGTTGCTAAAATTTAGAAACACCTGAATGACCACCGATAGGGACTCATTAGATAAATTATGATAGCTCCCTACAGTAAACTGCATGTGTAAAAGTTGATAGACCCAGCCACGGTGGTGCTGCTGCTTTTTTTTGAGGCCACATGGAGGTCTACATTCAGTTCCCAGCCCACTCTAAAATCCTGGTGCAATATCCTGTGCCTTAACCCCACCTACTAGAAAGGCTAAAGCAGAAGGATCACTGACTAGATAATGAGATCCTATCCTTAAAAAAGTAAATGGTAAGTCAGCAGGTGGCGTGGTGGTTAAAGCACTAGATCCCACTTGACCGACTCCATTGAGTCCTACACCTGGCAGCTTGAAAAACATGCTGGGTAGGGACCAGCAGGTGGCATGGTTGTTAAGGCGCTGGACAGTCCCGCATGGCTGACGACAGTTTGAGTCCCAGACCTGGTGGCTTGCTTTCTCACTTTCTCTCTCTCTCTTTCTCTCTCTCTCTGTCTCTCTCTGGCCAAATTGAAATATATGAATGAATAAATAAAATTAAATAAATCATTCTTTTAAAAAAAGTTAGAAAGAAAAACATGCTGGGTGTATGTGCATATATGTGCGTGCCCAAAATCCCAAAAGGAGAATGAAGGAGGATTGTGAAGTGGCCATGCTCCATGGGGGCAGTGATTTCTTACTTTCCCTGTCACTCTCTGGTGAGTGTACAAACCCTATAACAAAGTAAATAAATAACAAAATATATAAAGATGCTCTTTATAACCAATGTTTCATATTAGGGGGCCAAACTTTAACACATGTTGTGTGAGAAAAACGGGGTGCAGTTACAGTGATAATATGCAGGGTATGCTACTGTTTGTAAAAACAAAAGTACAGTTGATTGCCATGGGAAGGAATCTCTAGAAACACAAGAAACTTGTAATACTGTTTGCCTTCAACGGGGATAACTTTAGAGCTACAGGACAAGGGATGAGAGTGTTCACTGTACACTTTGAATTTTGAACCATTAAAAAAAAAATTATTTAACTTTATTTAGTTTTGACCAGAGAGGGACAGAGCAAGAGAGAGCAACAGAGAGAGAGAGGAAAAAAAAGCAATCCGCCAGGTCTGGGACTTGAACCATGGTTGGCCATGTGGGAGTCCAGTGCCCTTAACATCATGCCACTGCCAGCTCCAAACCATGTTATTTTTTAAAAAAAGATTTTAAAGTGAACCATTTTGAGACTTTCTCCAAAATAAGAGTGTAGTGTGCTGTATTCTAAAACCAAACATAAAAGGTATATTTATAAGTCACTGTGGACAGTGAGAAATGAGGATTATTGTAGTCAATTACTTCAGGCTGGCAACTTGAAACTACTTCTGCCACAGAAGATTTATACTGTTAATTTATTCTTTGATAAGTTAAAAGACATAAGTGTTCATTATGATAGGTCATTTACATCTCTTAATTTGGTATTGTTAACAAATTTTTGCAGAGAAAATACTCAAGTTTTTGCGCAGTGTTAGGTGAGTAATGTGGCAAATCAGTTTGGAGATCATTTATTTTGAGAGATACTCCAAGAGTTTGTCTGTTCTTTTGGAATTGCCTTATCACCCAAGTAGGGCAGCTTCTGGGATTTGTGCTTAGTAAACAGTCTAATGAGGTTATAACCACACATGTATTTGAAGCATTTAAAATGCAGAGCTGACACGACAAATTATACCCATCCCTTGAAAAGTGGCAGAACGCTTACCTCTTCCAGTAGACCACAATGCAGCTTTTCACTCCTTGTTTTGTTGAAAGCACTTTCTCCTATACCAGGAAGCACTGCATTCTGGTGAGCAGTCTTACTTGCTGGTTGGCAGTGTATACTCCCCACCCTGGAAACCTATGTCTTTAAATGTGCCCTTGGGGCATACTTAACACATCTTAAGCCAGAAAAACACAGCCCTTAAAAACAAGATTTTTGGTTAATTGTTTTGAACTGAAAAAAACTGTCTACCATAGTCTACTAGTAGTAGTGTAAAACGTCACAATTCTGGGTTAGGTTTTGCATCACAGCATTATTTTATTTTATTTATTTATTTAGGGTTTTGCCATAGGGCATGTATACTGGCTGGAGAAGAGAGGGAATGTGAAAAATCACTCCCTGGCAGAGGTGGCCAAGCCACAGTCCTTTCTGCATTTTCCTCCTGGGACTTTGGGAAGGCAGGCAAGGTGCCTGAATCCCTGTTGGTCATGTGGGAGTCCAGTGCCGTAACCACTGTGCCACCTGCCGTCCCCTCAACCCATCTCTAGTTAATGTTTGAACTTAACTTTTTTTTTTTTTGAAGAGAGATTTTTGCTACAGTGTACTCACTAGAGAGAGAGACAGTGAGAAATCATCCCCCGGGGGAATGGTCACACTGCAGTCTCTTCTTCATTCTCCTCTTGGGATTTTGGGCACACATGCATGTACCTGGCATGAGCTTTAGGCCCCCAGGTCCATGGTCAACTTTGTGAGAGTCCCCGTTGTAACCATTACACCATATGCTGGTCCCTCAACTTAACATCTCTTAGAAATCTATTACAGGCCAGGTACTATGCTAGGGACTGTTTAAAGATTAACATCTGAGTATAAAGTGGATGTTAGACTGGAGAGAATGTGAATGGGATGATATTTAAAAGGGTTTTAGGGGGACTCAGCAGTTAGCGTAATGGCTATGTCGCTGGACTCCCATTTAGTCAACCGCAGTTCGAGTCTTGGACCCTGTGGCTTAAACTCACGCCGGACGTGAGTGCATGTGTGCCCAAGATCCCGAGAGGAGAATGAAAGAGAAGTGATTGTGAGACTTTTCAGAGGTATTGACTGAATTTCTTTGTATTCTGTATTCAGGAGAAAATATAGTGAAAGGAGACAAAGAATCTATAAAGAATCTCCTAGAAATATTTGATGGGTTGCTGGAATATCTTACAGAACACATCAGTGAAACATCTTATGAGAAAAGTAAGTTTAAATATGGAAATTTGGTTTGATCTACATTCTGTGTTATTCTGTCCTTTTTTTTGCCTTTTTGCCTGTTTTTCTTCATGGGAAGCAAAATCACTAATACAGTGTACTGCATACAGTTCTTTCTGTTCCAAGTGGTTAGAAACTCAATCCCAGACTGTTAGCATGTCCTTTGTTAACTTGGATGTTGTGTATACATTACTTTAAAGCTAATCTAATAGAATCCTAAATTTCTGGCTAAATTATTGTCCTGTTATTGCGTGAATTCCTTACTCCAAAATTTCCTATGTCAGAACTGTCATTTATGTTATAAATGTGGATATAACCAAGGCATTAATAGGAAGAGTTAGGGTATCTCTGTCTTGAACTAATAATGTATGTTGCAACTTAATTTTTTTTTTAATCTTACTCTTTAAGCAGCTCAGTTCCCCACACTGAACAATTTATTGTGTATAATTTTGACTTTATGTTTTTTGCTTTTTTTGAGAGATTTTTGCTATAGGGTGCATGTACTTGCCAGGAAGACAAGAGACAAAGAGACAGAAAGCAAGAAATCACCCCCTAAGGGGATGGCTATGTCACAATCCGTTCTCTATTCTCTCAGGATTTTGGACACGCATGCACACGTACCTGTCATAAGTTTTAAGCCACTGGGACATGAACGGTAGTTGACTACATAGGAGTCCAGTGATGTAACCATTATGCCATCTGCTGGTCCCAATATTACGTTTTTAAAAGATAATTATGGAGATCGGTATTACCATACGGTTATCCAAAAATGTTGTTATTGTCAAAACTCAATCAGCAGTGCCTATGCAGTTATTCATCTTGGGCTCAATAAATTGTATTTCTTGGAATTTATCCTGAGGAAATATACCAAAGAAAGTCAGGCTGGACCAGTTACAGTAGCATGCACTGGATGCTGCTACCTGGTGGGCTGAGGCTACATGGGGGCCTAGGTTCAATTCCCAGCCTACCCTAAAAAGCCAACTAAAAAGCCAAGCGCAGTGGCTTGTGTCTGTGGTCCCAGCTGCTTGGGAAGCTAAGGAAGGAATTTGTGACACAGCAAGACCTTGCCAAACAAATCAAAACACAACACAACCACACACATACAATGACAATAAATGCTGGAAGGAATATATTATGTTACCATTGCCAAAAATCATCATCATCATCATCATCCAGCAATTGGAGATTAGATAAGTAATACCAGAGGTCATAGATGAAATAATATATAATCTGGGGGCCGGCAGGTGGCGTGGTGTTTAGGGCTCTGGACTCCTACATGGCTGACCATGGTTTGGGTCCCAGACCTGGTGGCTTGCTTTTTTCACTTTGTCTCTCTGTCCCTCTCTGGTTGAATTTAAAAAACTAAGTAAGTAAATAAATAAAGTTAAATAAAATAATTATTAAATATATATATATAGGGAGACAGATGGAGAGGGCCAAAACAAACCCCAAGGGGGCATGGGCATACCACAGTTCACTCTCCTTCATTTCTCTATTCTGTTGGGATTTGGGGCATGCATGCACATGTTTCCAGCTTTAAGCCCCTAGCGCAAGGATTTGGACCATGGTCGGCCGTGTAGAATCCAGTTAATATTAATCAGTAGATTTACCTATTCTTATGTTATAAAGTTATCCAAAAACAGTTGTCAGAGCCAGTAGGTAGCGTAGTGGTTAAGGCACTGGACTCCCACATGGCAAGCTGTGGTTTGAGTCCTTAACTTGGCAGTTCAAAATTCGCCACATGGGGGACCGTCAGTTAGTGTAATGGCTATGTCGCTGGACTCCCACGTAATCGAACGCAGTTCACGTCCCGGACCCAGTGGCTTAAAACTCACGCTGGGTGCATATGCATGTGTGCCCAAGATCCCAAGGAGAATGGAGGAGAAGGGATTGAGGCGTGGCCATCCCCTCTGGGGGGAGATTTCTCGCTTTCCATATCTCCATCTCTCTCTGTCTATCTGGTGAGCACAAGCGCCCTATAGCAAAAACCTCTTAAAAAAAAAAAAATCGCCACAGGGGCATGCGTGCTCAATATCCCAAGAAGAGAATGGAGAAGAAGGGATTGCGGCATGGCCATTCTCCCTGGGGGGTGATTTCTCGCTTTCTCTCTGTCTCTTTGGTCAATGTATATGCCCTATAGCAAAAACCTCTCTTTAAAAATTATGAAAACAAAAAAATAGTTTTCAACAGCAACCTCAGGTAACATAAAAACTCAAATTAAGACAAAAATTGGGGTAGGCTGTGCTATTGTTATAACCTTAGAAATTTTTTTTTTGGAGAGGTTTTTTTGCTATAGGGCGCGTACGCTCGCCAGACAGGGAGAGACAGAAAGCGAGAAATTACCCCCCAGGGGAGATGGCCACACCGCAATCCCTTCTCCTCCATTCTCCTCTCGGGATCTTGGGCACGCACACACACGCAACCGGCGTGAGTTTAAGCCACCGGGTCGGGGACTTGAACCGTGGTCGACTATGTGGGAGTCCAGCAACATAGCCATTACGCTAACTGCTGGTCTCATAACCTTAGAAATGAATGTCTTTAGTTAGAGATAGTTTCTTACCTTTAGTCATTGTTACTAAAATGATTTAAAAGCTGGAAGGGGGTGTCTGGCTCCGTGACCTGGTGGTTAAGGGAGCTGCATCTTACATGGCCAGCCCTGCGATTCAACCTGGGCTGGCAGGTGGCATGGTAGTTAAAGGCATGGGACTCCCACATGACCAAACATGGTTTAAGTCCTGGACCTGGTGGCTTCCTTTCTCACTTTCCCTCTCTCTCCCTGGTCAAATTGGAAAATAATAATAAAGTTAAAATAAAATAATTATTAAAAAAGAAAAAAGACACAGACCCAGTGGTTGGAGTCCCAGACTTGGCAGCTCGAGAGACATGCTGTGTGTGTGTGTGTGTGTGCACGTGTGCATGTGCATGCATGCCTGAAATCCTGACAGGGTAGAGAAATGGAGAAGGGATTGCAGTGTAATCATTCCCCGTATGAGGGTATTTTCTTCTTCTCTGTCTCTGGCAAGTACACATGCTCTCTGACAAATTTTTAAAAAGATTAAAAAAAAAAAAAAGGCTAGAAGGAAAGATAGAAATGTGCACCACACTGGAAATTTTTGTTTATTTTCCTTTAGTTGCCAGAAGGTGCTTAAATCTTCCAGAGAGAGAAAGAGAGAAAGAGGGCATCTCTGGGTCGGGATCACACCACAAGCCCTTTTCCTCCATTTCTCCATCCTGTCAGGACTTCAGGCATACACACACGTGCACCTAGGCATGTTTTTCAAGTCACTGGGGTTGGGACGTGACCATGTCCGCGTGTGGGATCCAGCTCCCCATGCACTGCATTGAGCCACTGTGCCCCAGGGTTAGCCCCGAGAGATTTCTTTTTTCATTTCAAGTGTTTGAATGTTTAGTATGTGTTAATGTCTGAGCAGGCACTCTGGGAGGAGTCACAGCTGCATATAATGTTTATTACTCTCAAGGCAGGGAGACTGGCATAAATACAATAAAAACACAGAAGGGGGCGCCAGCTCCATGGCCTGAGGCTTACAAGAACTGGAACATATAACCTCACAGATTTTGGTGAATACATGCACCCTCTGGCCAGTAAGAAAAAGGAGTAATAACATGAATTCGGAGAGACTAGTAGAAGTGTACTATATGGAACTCACCCAATCGAGGGGTAGGTGATACACAGGCCTTTTTTGGGGGGGAGAGGTTTTTGCTATAGGGCATGTGCACTCACCTGAAAGAGACAGAGAGAGAGAAAGTGAGAAATCACCCCCCAGGGGGGATGGCCACACCGCAGTCCCTTCTCCATTCTCCTCTTCAGATCTTGGGTATGCACACACACGTGCCCGGCGTGAGTTTAAGCCACCAGGTCCAGGACGCGAACCACAGTCAACTACATGGGAGTCCAGCGACATAGCCATTACGCTAACTGCTGGCCCTGTGGCTTTTCATTTTTAACAGCAAGGTTAAGAGGTAGAAAACTACCCCTAAGTAAAGAGTTTGAGATTAATCTGAAACATCGCAAAGGCAGCAGCATTGTTTACAGTTTGACACTAAATCATGTAGAGGGGAAGGGTGGCAGGGCAGTGGAGATGAGAGGAAGACAGAATCGAGAGAATAGTGTGAATCCGGTGGAAGTGACAGCTGAGGGATGTTCCCAGGAGAAGTCGGTAGGATGGCGAGTTAAGCAGTGCGATGAGAGGAAGACAGAATCGAGAGAGTAGTGTGAATCTGGTGGAAGTGACAGCTGAGGGATGTTCCCAAGAGAAGTCGGTAGGATGGCGAGTTAAGCAGTGCCAGTAGGGAGTGCTCACATAGGCTTTCCCACGTGGTAACACCAAGTTGGCACCTTTGCAGATCAAAAATATACTTAATTCATAGTATTACCTAGAGCTGGGTAGATTATTTTTTCTCTCTTTTTAAAAAAATTGTTATAGGGCATGCGTGCTTGCCAGAGACAGAGGGAAAGTAAGAAAGCATCCCTCGCCCGGGGGAATGGCCAAGCCACCGTCTCTGCTCTATTCTCCTCTTGGGGTTTCAGGCATGCATATGTACCTATGCCTGGCATGTTTTCCAAGCTGCTGGGTCTGGGCCTTAAACCATGCTGTTGGCCAAATGGGATCCTGCTGCCCTAACTGGCCACACCACTGGCATGGCCCTGATTAGATCCTTTAAAATGCCAATTAAGAACCAATAGGTGGGGACCAGCAGTTAGCGTAATGGCTATGTCGCTGGACTCCTATGTAGTCAACCGCAGTTCACGTCCCGGACCCGGTGGCTTAAAACTCACACCGGGCGCGTGTGCGTGCGTGCCCAAGATCCCAAGAGGAGGATGGAGGAGAAGGGATTGCGGCGTGGCCATCCCCCCAGGGGGTGATTTCTCGCTTTCTGTCTCTCTGTCTCTCTCTCTCTCTCTGTCTGTCTGGCGAGTGCATGTGCCCTATAGCAAAAACCTCTCCAAAAAAAAAAAAAGAACCAGTAGGTGGTATAGTGGTTAAGGTGCTAGACTGGAGTCCTGGACCCAGTGTCTTTGAAATGACACAGGGTATGTGTACATACGTGCCCAAAATCCCTAGAGGGAAAATGAAGAAGGGATTGTGGTGTGGCCATCCCCTTGGGGTGATTTCTCAGTTTTCCTTTTCTCTCTTTCTCTCCCCCTGGAGAGCATATGCACCTTATGGCAAAAAAGTAAACAAAACCCTAAAAAACAAACAAAATGCCAATTAACGGTAACGGGGAATAAATCTTCCTTATTACTAGTCACGTCAGCTGTGCAGGACAGCCCTCCCTGGGACTGGAGCTGGCATTGTCACTAAAGATCCTAAGGCAGGCCACAGTGCAGAGTGGGTTCCTGTTCCTCACTGTGTGACTGCAGCTCTCTCAGCCTGCCACTCACCTGGGATTCCGGCAGGGTTGTCATGAAGGATGAGAGTAAACAGAGCATAGCTCAGAGTAAATGCACAATAGGTGTGAGCTAATGTTATTAAAATGTCGCTTGATAAATGCAGAGACAGAATAAAATGAAGGTGGGTTTTGATAGCAGACATCTCGCAGTGTGCAAGGGAGCCCATAGAGGGTAAATCGGAGTTGTAGGAGGGTTCCCCCATGTATCTCCAGAAATCACGGCCTGTGAGTTACTGCTGCTGGTGAGAGGTGTATTCCTCAGGTCTGTTTGGGGTGGGGTAAAGGCTGAAGGTATTGGGGACGATTTCACCCAAGCTTTGATATGGTCTGGCTCTTAGTTTAAACCATGATTGTTTCAGAGCTGGAAGTAGGGTGACACAGTCGTGTTTTTCAGTCATCCTGATTGACTGCCGCAGACACTCCTTTTGATGGAGAAGTTACAAGGAATAAGGAATGTACCTCTGCCCTGGCTGAAAAATATCAAACATTGCAAATATAACTGTAGACCCTGCTTAAACAATATTCTGTGGTTTCCTTGTCACTTGAATCTATGTGGTCATCACAAGTGACAATTTGGTCCTTTCTACTGGCACTTTGACAAGAACCGAGGATGAGCTGGGGGTACCTCACTGTCCTTACTCTCCCTACCTCGCGTATAGAAAAAGTAGTATTGACTTAGGGTTTCTTGTTTCTATGTGCTCTGAACAGGTGAAACTGTACCGTGTTTTAAAGAATCCCATCAAGGAGAACCTTTGCAAGAGCCAGAAAGCACTAAAGAATCTAAATCATCATGGAGAAGAGTTTCTTCTGGGAGGTAGCATCCAGTGCCTGTGGATTTAATCAAAACCAGTTACACATTTTCTTCTAAACTGCACACAGTATACCAGAGTGGCACCCAAAAACCAAGCTGTTAGGAAAATTTCATTAACTTAAACCTTTCTGAAGGGGTATGAAGAAGGATCTTGAGCTTATACAATTCTTAATTCTCAGTCTGAACTGCCTCATTTTTCATTTTTCCCTTGGTCATCAAAATTCAGCTTTCCTGTATTAGAAAACTGGCAAGGTACAGAGATTTTTTTCTTTTTTTAAAGGATTTTGCTATAGAGCGTGTGCACTCACCAGAAAGACAGAGAGAGACAGAAAGCGAGAAATCATCCCCCCAGGGGGAATGGCCACACCACAACCCATTCTCTTCTTGGGATCTTGGGCATGCACGTACATGTGTCCAGCGTTAGTTTAAGTCGTTGGGTCTGGGACCCGAACCTCAGTTGACTACATGGGAGTCCAACGACATAGCCATTATGCCAACTGCTGGTCGCTGGAGGCTTGCTTTCTTACTTTCCTTCTCTCTCTCTGGTAGAATTTTTATAGTAATAATAATAATTAAATTAAATAATTATTTTAAAAAATAAAATGAATGAATTGGAAATTACACTGGGCATGTGTGCATGTGGGCCCAAAGCCCCAGGAGGAGAATGAAAGAAGAGAAGAGGGATTGGGGTGTGGCCATCCCCCTAAGGGGTGATTTCTCACTTTCCTTTTCTCTTTCTGGCTCTCTCTACTAAGTGCATATGCCCTATGGCAAAAACCTCCCCCCCCCAAAAAAAAAAAAACCTCGTTACTGTACCTTCATGATCAATATAGCATTAAAGTTTGTACTACTTTAAAAGAACTATTTAATTTTGTTTATTATTATTTGTTATAGGGCTCATGCGTACATCAGAGAGACAGAGAGAGGGAGGGAAAGTGAAAAAGCAAGCCACTAGGTCCAGAACTCGAACTATGGTACCCTGTGTGGGAGTCCAGTGCCTTAACTACCACGCCACCTACTGGCCGCTTGCGCTATTTTTTTTTAGACAAGATGTATTATTACATATTTGTATGTCTTGCTAAGTAGAGGTTCAGTATGATGCTATGACTTTCTTTTAAATAATCCTTAGGGCTTTTTTTGTCTTGTTTTTATGCTGTTTTCTTATTTGGAAAGCACAGGCAATTCCTTCTGTTTTAGGTATACTGTGAAAAATGTGTCTCAAAGGAGACCATCATAAGTTGACAGTCTTTTTATTTATTAGATTTTTTAAAGAATTATTTAACTTTCTTTCTTTCTTTCTTTCTTTCTTTCTTTCTTTTTATTTGACCAGAGAGAAACAGAGTGAGAGAAAGGGTGAGAAAGCAAGCTGCCAGGTCCAGGACTTGACCCATGGTTGACTATGTGGGAGTCCAGAGCCCTTAACCACTATGCCACCTGCTGGCCCCTCTTTATTAGATTTTTTTTTAAATAACAAAATTTGCAAATGTGAAATGATTCAAGGATTTTTTTTTAACTTTTTTTTTAGAATTATTTTATTTAACTTTATTCATTTATTTACTTATTTATTTTAGTTTGACCAGAGAAAGACAGAATGAGAGAGAGAGAGAGAGGAGGAAGGTGAGAAAGCAAGCTGCCAGGTCCGGGACTTGGAACTGCAGTCGGCAATATGGGAATCCAGCGCCCTTAACCACCACTCTACCTGCCAGCCCTGATTCAAGGATATTTAGTGCAAAATTAATGTCCTACCCTTGTCATCCCCATAGAGTCACCGGTGTTGCTCTTCTCGGTGTGTGGTCTTCCATACATTTAATCCTTGACACTTACACACAGCTGTCTCCATCATTCCCTTACCTGTCAAAACAAAATAGAGAAGCAGCAGTAAGTGATGAGTAGCAGACATGAAAGTCTCTCTCTCTCTCTCTGTGCCCAGCAATGAGCAGTCCGAACACCCACAGGCCTGGTTGAAGGGTCCTCACAGGAGAGCCCCTGTGGGGTCAGGCCGAGCCCCAAGTAAGGAAGGAAATTCTTTCAGATGCTCCTTATCCTCTGATGCCTTGGGCCCCTCTTGGGATGGAGAGGAAGCTGATTCTACTGGTGAGATAATCAGACTCGGAGACACAGCACACACCTTTTCTCTAAGAAGTAATGGTAAGTAGTAGTGCTTTTTCTTTTTTAAGAATTACTTTTAATTTTTTTTATTTATTTATTTTTCTTTTGGAAGAGGTTTTTGCTATAGGGCCTGTGCGTTTACCCGGAAAGACAGAGACAGAGAGAAAGTGAGAAATCACCCCACCCCCCCCCGGGGGCGGAGGGGGATGGCCACACCATAATCCCTTCTCCTCCATTCTCCTCTCAGGATCTTGGGCATGCACGCACACATGCCCAGTGTGATTTTAAGTCTGGGCCTTGAACTGTGGTCGACTATGTGGGCGTCCAATGACATAGCCATTACACTAACTGCTGGTCCCTTAATTATTAGTTTTTAGTTTGACCAGAGAGTGGGAAAGTGAGAGCGCAAGCCACCCTGTCCAGGACATGAACTGTAGTCGGCCATGTGGGAGTTCAGCACTTTAACCACCACACCACCTGCTGGCCCCGAGTAGTTATCAATGAGTGCTATTCAACATATAGTTATACTTAGGAGTGTTTAAAATAAAGAAAAATAGAGAACACCCTAATTTTAATTCAGAATTTAAATTTCAGAATGCAGCCAGTGCCCACTAAATGTAGGTAGGTGTCTGCCAGCACAGTCAAGTGCAAGTTCCAGGCAGTGTGGGCAGGTGAGTGGATACTGATGGGGCTGTCACCTCAACTGTGGGACCTGATACCCTGGGAAGAGAGTTCTGGGTCAGCCATACTGTCTGGTCATGTTTTCAGAGTACTCCTTAATTGGTATTTCCTGAACTGGTTGACTCATGTTTTTCATTCAACCAGTGGCAATTTTTCTCACAGGCTTCAGGCCACATTTCCAGCAGTCCACTGTCTGTACACAGCAGACCTGAGTATCTCCCAGCCCCAGGTGGAACCCTCCTTGCTTCCTCTCCTCTAGACATCCCCCTGCCTTGCCCACCTTGGTTGCCTCGCCCTTCCCAGGCATTGTACTGTTTTCTTTGCTGACATTCTCTTCCTTCTATTCCTGGCGGACTCCACCTCCTTCCTTAGGCACTGCGGCTCTGTTCTATAGTGTGGGCTTCTCTATTTCAGTCACACCATCCACACACTGTGTGGTAACTTAGGAGTGTGACATAAACTGTGAGTTCCAGGGACAGTGGCCACGTCACAGTCATTCGGCACATATTATTCAGCGCCTTTCCTGTGCCAGGTGGAGGTGATACAGTGGTAAATGCCAGGCATGCATCCCTGCTTTCACGGGGTAGCTGATAAATAGAATACATGAGTAAAATACAGTTCATAGTACAATTAGCCATGCTCATCTTCGTGTTCCAAAAGTTAGCAAAACATTAGGCCATAATAAGTATTTTTTTAAACAGAATGACAAGATGCCACAGTGGAATTAGGGCCATTAAATGGGAAACCAAGTGGCTCTCATACTCACCCAGACTGCCACTGGCTGTGTGACTGTGGACAAGGTGCTTATCTTTTTGGAGCCCAGCATCTTCACGTGTGAAATGAGGGCGTTGTGCTAAACCATCTCTTAAATCCCATTCAGCATTAATACCCTGATCCCAAGGAACACACTGCATTCCAAAGAACTCTGTTTGAAGATCCTAAGTCTGCAAGGTCACACAGTAGACCAAAGACATTGGTTGCTGTTGCGATAAGCAGAGGAATGGAATGATCAGTCAAATGTAGGTGATACCAGAATGTTTCTTGAAGGAAGAATGTCACATAAATTGATAGGATGGAAGGAATGCTGATTTTAGAAATGAGTTCTGTGATATCAACTGGGGGACCAGCAGTTAGCATAATGGTTATGTCGCTGGACTCCCACGTAGTCAACTATGGTTCGCGTCCCGGACCTGGTGGCTTAAAACACACCGAGTGCGTGTGCGTGCATGCCCAAGATCCCGAGAGGAGAATGGAGGAGAAGGGATTGCAGCGTGACCATCCCCCCTTGGGGGGTGATTTCTCGCTTTCTGTCTCTCTGTCTCTGTCTGTCTGGCGAGTGCACGTGCCCTATAGCGAAAAGCTCTCCAAAAAAAAAAAAAGAGTTACACAACTACAGCACAGGAGGACAGATTGAGAGAGGGACCTGGTGGAGGCGTTTGGGTTTGATGTGATAAAAGGGCTTATGGCAGCTTCCTTTTAAATTAGATGTCACATGATCGTCATATACCGTCACAGGCCATCTATTTTGGCTTCAGTTTCTGGACTGTCAATCTTTGTGGTCCTAGCCAAGACCCCTGCCTCGGTTCCCTTCATATCCAGAGATCCGTGCATACAACAGCCAGCATTTCTACAATGCAGTGCCTATTCTCTAAAGCAAACTAATGGAAAAATGGTGAAACTCTGCTTTTAGGCTGTGCTAGTGATCCTGGGCTACAGAACTGCATCTTATTATCTAGTGGTTGTAAAAATAATTGGTGATTGAAGCAACTGGACCATCATCGTTCCTTAAACAGGTTCTTCCTGAGATTCCCCCCAAGAGCACAGAACTTTTTTCCCCCTAAGCAGCTTTTAGTATAATGTTCAGCAAACTATCTTGATAATCTAAAAATTTACCCTCAATGTTTTCTCTCCTAGGTCCCCATGGTTCTAATGATACACAGTTTAAAAAAGCTTCAACCTCACCGAGTTCTAAATCACGTGAAGATGTATTCAGCCCTCCCTCATCTAGTTTTTTGTCCAAGAATAGAACATCCTTTGTTGAAGACAGTGAGTTACAATGGGTTGTCAGTTCTTTAGACTCCTGTTGAGTTGGGGATAGTTGTTAGTTCTTGGGTAATTGCTGTTACTGTTAATAGCCTTTTTACTTTTGTTGTCTGTACTTTGAGATTCTTTTTAGCTTTTTTTAAAAAAATAATTATTTAATTTTATTTATTATGCTTTAATTTAACCCGAGAGACAGAAAGGGAAAATGAGAAAGCAAGCTCCCAGGTCCAGGACTCAAACCATGGTTGGCCATATGGGAATCCAGTGCCTTAACCTCCACGCCACCTACCGGTCCTGAGATTCCTTTTAGCTTTACGTTACTTTTTTTCTTTTTAAAATTTTGCTATAAGGCATGTGTGCTCACGGGAGATAGAGTGAGAGGGAAAGTAAGAAAGCACTCCCCAGGGAGGTTGGTCATACAGCAATCTCCTCTTCATTATCTGCTGGGGATTTTAGGCAAACACACATGTGCACCTGGGGTTTTTATCAAGCTGCCAGGTCCAAGACTCAAACCACATAGCCAGCCACGTGGGATCTAGCCACCCAACTGGCTGGCCCAAGCTTTATATCTTATTTGTAAATGTTTACTACTAATTATGAACAATGATTTTTTGCTTAAGAGGTTGCATATTTTGCATCTACTATTATCTGAATCTTCTCAGAGACTTGTTTTGTTTTTGAAGGCAATTGAGAGTTTTTAATACGTTAGTGTATCAGTTTGTAGTCTTCAATGATACTGAATGATAACTACAGTAACTTGAAAAATGTTCTTGTTCCTTACTGTAGTCTGAGATTTTTGTATGGTAGCATTACATTGTTGTTAATGGCCGTTAAGTTTTTTTTATTGTGGATGAACTATGATTTACACAGCCATATTTTAAGCCATTTCTGTTGCTTCCAATATTGCATTATTTTAAAATAACTTACAGGAAACTTTATTTTGAAGTTTTTGCCATCACGGGTGTGTGCACTCACCAGGAAGAGACAGAGACAAAAGTGAGACATCACCCTCCCAGGGGGATGGCTGCACTGCAATCCCTTCTCCATTCTCTTCCTGGGATCCTGGGCACGCACTCACATGCGTCTGGTGTGATTTTCAAGCCACCAGGTCTGGGATTCAAGCTGCGATCAGTCATGTGGAAGTCAGCGCCATAACTACTACATCACCTGCTGGCCTCTACAGGAAACATTCTTTTGATAGTAACATTAGAATATTCATCTAGATTTAATTAGGTTCTTACTTGTTGAAAATGTGTCCCTGATTTACTTATTTGTGTGTGTGTGTTGTTTTAATCAAGTCTTAAGACATTTTCTAATTAATGTGAACATCTTTACATAGGTATGTGTATATATAAGCTGACTTCTTGTTTTTTTTTTTTTTTTTTTCATTGTAATGTCTACTTTTAATTTTTGTCTTACTAGCGGAAACCCCTTCTTTCAGTGTAATTCCAAGTGCTAGGAAGCTCGGGGAGCCTATTCGAGCAGCCATTCCTTTACATCCCCCCTACCACCCTGCCGAGCCTCGAGCCCCCTGCCCTATAGGAAAAGAGTACTTGCAGGCAAGTCGCTGCTCCCCTGCCGTGAATTCTACTGGAGAGGCAGTGTCTGTAGTAAGTGGAAAAGCTTGTTTGCGATTTGATAAAAGTTTTTTGTCTGCTTTTTAATGTACTGTGGGTAGAGGGGGAGGGGAGGAGGTTGGGAATGAGGAAGCACCTCTCAGGGCAGATGGCGATGATGCAGTCCCTTCTCCTTCATTCTCCACGTGGGATTTTTGGGCATCACATCCACACATTCAGCATGTTTCTCAAGCCACCAGCTCTGGGATTGAACTGCACAATTGACCTCCATGCGGAGTCCACCAAACCACTGACTGGCCCGTAATGGAAGTTTTTATGTTCAAAGAGGACTCTGCTGGAATGGTAATCAAACATACTGGACTAATCAAAGCACTGTACTTCTTAAAATTACCTCTGGTGACTGGTAGGTGGCATAGTGGTTGGGGTCGCTGGACTCTCACATGGCTGACCATGGTTCAAGTCCTGAACTTGGCAACTTGCTTTCTCACTTTCTCTCTTTCTCTCTCACTCTGTCCCTTTCTGGTCAAATTAAAATACATTAATGAATAAATAAAGTTAAATAAAGTAATTATTAAAAAAATTACCTCTGTATACACTTGCATGGTCTTGTGCTAGGAAGATGGGGACAAGATGAATCTCTGAAAAAAGAAATAATGAAATAATATAAGCTAGTATATACCGAATGTTAACTTTTGCCAGGCACAGTTCTGGGTCCTTTATAGGTATTGAATACTTTTCCTTTTTTTTCAGAGTTTTGGTTTTTTTGCCTGAGGGCGCATGCACTTGCCAGAAAGACAGAGAGAGACAGAGAGACAGAAAGCGAGAAATCATCCCCCCCCCACCGGTGGGGAATGGCCATGCCGCAATCCCTTCTCCTCCAATCTCCTCTCGGAATCTTGGGCACACGTGCACACGTGCCTTGCCTGAGTTTAAGCCACCAGGTCCGGGACTCGAACCGTGGTCGACTACATGGGAGTCCAGAGACATAGCCATTACGCTAACTGGTCCCTGAATAATTTACTTTTCAAAACAACTCTGGATTACTACCCATGGTAAGCTGATGTGGAGAGGTTAATTATCTTGTCTGAGGCTACACAGCAAGTGTAGAGTCAGGATTTGAAACCAGAATGCTTTATGTCCTTAAATAATTTCACATTTTAAAAATATTGGAAAGTATGAAAAAAGAAAACCATCCATCTTTATTCCCATTATCCAGCATGAACTACTGTTAATATCTTAGTCCATTTCCTTTTTCTTTTTTCTTCTTTAGTAGAGAGAGGGCAAGGGGCCAGCAGGTGGCGTAGTGGTTAAGGTGCTGGACTTCCACATAGCCGACCACGATTCAAGTCCCGGACCTGGTGGCTTCCTTTCTCACTTTCCTAATTTCTTTCTCTCTTTCTCTCTTTCTCTTTCTCTCTCTCTCTCTCTCTCTCTGTCTCTCTCTCTCTGGCAAATGCATGTGCACTATAGCAAACGATGATAAATAAAATAAAATAAATAATATTTTAAAAAAAGAACAGAGAGGGCAAGCTGTCAGGTCTGGGACTTGAACCGCAGTTGGCTATGTGGGAATCCAGCACCCTTACCCACCATGCCATCTACTGGCCCCAAGAAATAAGTTAGTTAAGGGATCAGCAGATGGTATAATGGTTAGGTTCCTGGATTCCCACTTGGTTGACAGCACTTTGAATCCCGGATCCAGTGACTTAAAACTCAGGCTAGGCTTGTATGTATGTGTGCCCAGAATGGAGAAGAAGGGATTGCAGGGGGCCAGCCCCCCGGGGGATGATTTCTCACTTTCTGTCTCTCTGGCGAGCGCATGTGCGCAATAGAAAAGATGTCCTGGAAAAAAAAAGTTATTTAAAACATAAAGAGTTTACATTCATATTTTGGTTTTATCTTTGTGTTATTTGACTTTGGACAGTGTTAACTCCCTGATATGAAAAATAGAAACTTGTATACTTTCCATTTATGATTTGATCATATTTTCATCATCAGATATAGTAATAACGTCTGAAATTTCATGTTTCAGAAATCTCACTGCTTTGATATTCCAGTGGCACGTTGAGCCAACCTTTTTACCAAGCACAAGTTTATAGACACTGCTCTAACGCACTGGGTATTAATAGGGTATTCTATGCTCGGCCAGCAGGTGGTGTGGTGGTTAAGGCACTGGTCAACCGCAGTTCAAAGCCCCAACCTGGTGGCTTGACAGTTATGTCAGGCGTATGTGCCCAAAATCCTGAGACAGGAATGGAGGAGAAGGGATTTTCTCTCTCTCCCCAGCAAGTATATATAACCTATGGCAAAAAAGTAAAAGGAGGGGGCTGTTTTTTGACAGAAGTATTTACAAACAAACATGAGGGGCTGGTACTATGATACAGCGTGACACTGCAGGGGTTACCCAGATGGGCAGGTTCTGGGTTTGCACATGGAATCCTCCCTGAGTGTACCAGGTAACACAGGACCATGATCAGGGTCTAGTGGGAGTGGATATGGTATTGGGACAGGTTGAGGATACTGTCTCTTTTTTTTTTTTAAATTTTTTTTTTTTTGAGAGATTTTAGCTTTGGGCAGCGACGTTTTTTTTTTTTGAGAGATTTTCACTGTAGGGCGCGTGCGCTCGCCAGACAGACAGAGAGAGACATAGAGACAGAAAGCGAGAAATCACCCCCCAGGGGGGATGGTCACGCCGCAATCCCTTCTCCTCCATTCTCCTCTCGGGATCTTGGGCACGCATGCACACGTGCCCGGCGTGAGTTTGAAGCCACCGGGTCCGGGACACGTGGGAGTCCAGCGACATAGCCATTACGCTAACTGCTGGTTCCCTTAATTTAATATTTTAAAGAATAATTTTATTTATCATTATTATTATTATTTTTTTTTAATTCACTACAGGGTACGTGCACTCACCAGAGAAAGGAGGAGTGAGGAACAGAGGGATAGAGAAAAGGGGGCAGAGAGAGAAAGTGAGAAAGCCACCAGGTCTGAGACTTGAACTTCAGTCAGCCATGAACTTAAGTCCAGCACCTTAACTACCATGCCACCCACTGGTTCAACTGTCTGCATCTTTCTGTCTCACTTATAAAAGTAAATAAATAAACTTAAAACAGAAAAACATGGAGAGAGTGCTTCTCTCTGTGGTATAGGGAGAGGGGACCTAACAGTCATGGACACTCCCTTACCCTCCAAAAAATTTGTCTTTGTAACTTTTTCAAATCTACTTTTTCTGTTTTCAACAGGAACCAGAAGATAGAGTTTTCTTAACTTCTGAGTTGCCTAAAGATGGCAAACAGGAAGTGTGTTCAGCTCAGGTTCAAGGCTCTAGGATAAAAAACCTTCCCAAAGGAAAAAGGTACTGCTCCTGTAAGCTTCAGTATTTATCGTGTCTTCACGAAGGATTTGAAGTTAGGAGTGTGCTCTTCTAATTTAGCTCTGCAAGTTACTGTGAAATAGTTAGTAAAGCATGTGTACTATGACAGTAATTTTATACTAAATATGCCTGGCTACTTAAATGTCACATGGTCACTTATTACAGAAATGAAAACAGAGCTGCAGCCTCAGCTTGGGATTCACCTCTCCCTCAGAGGGGAAGAAAGAGGTTAACGGAAGAAGAACTGCACGCAGTGTCAGAGAAACTCTCTCAACGGCTGTCTGAACTGGACTGGGCAAGTGCTGTGTTGTCTGTACTGAGTGCTGTGGGTTACTGACATTTCACTGATTTCCCAATTGAAGGTGGAAGCTAAGTACAGATACTAGAAATGAGTTGTGTTGTAGTTACTGTAAAAATTGTGTTCCATGGGGCCAGCATTTGGTGTGGTGGTTAAGGTGCTGGACTCCCACACGGCTGACCGCGGTTCAAGTTCCGGACCTGGCAGCTTGAAAATCACACAGAGCACATGTGCGTGTGTGACCAAAATCCTGAGAGGAAAATGGAGACAGGAATGCAGAGTAGCCATCCTCCTTCGGGGTTGATTTCTCCATCTTTCTCTCTCCAGAGAGTGCATGTGCCCTGTGGCAAAAAAAAAAAAATTTTTTTTAAGAATTATTTTATTTAACTTCATTATTATTTTAATATTTCCAGAGAGAGAACGAGAAGGGGAAAGTGAGAAAGCAAGCCTCAAGGTCTGCCATATGGGAGTCCACTGGTCCCAAGTGGCAAAAAATCTTTTAAAAAATTTTTATGTTTCAGGACCAGTAGTTAGTGTAATGGCTACGTTGTTGGATTCCCATGTAGTCGATCGCAGTTCGAGTCCTGGACCTGGTGGTTTAAGCTCATGCTGGGCATGTGTGCCTGTGTGTCCAAGATCCCGAGAGGAGAAGGGCTTACGGCATGGCCATCCCCGCTGGGGGTGATTTCTTGCTTTCTGTCTGTCTTTCTGGCGAGCGCACACACCCTCTAGCAAAAACATCTCAAAAAAAAATTGTGTTTTATAAGTCAAACAGGTGGGACATAAACAATGATATCTAAGCCTTTTGTGATATAATCAGGTTTGGTACAGATTTATCTATACTTTATTGAATTTTGCTACAAACTCAATCATTTAACATAAATGATAATATTAAACCTTTTCTCTTTAGATATATTTATATATACATGGTTTCCTTTTGTCACTAAAGCCAGATCTGGCATAAAATTGGATGATGGATCACTGTTTCTCAGAAAATATATTACAGTTTTGGGGTACCATTGAAATCCCTATGTGATTTACTCTAAAGTTTTTTTTTTTTTTTAATTAAAACTGAATAGCCGTAGCACTCATACCCTTCAAAAACAAAATGTGCTCTAGCAGCTATAAATTTCTGACTATCAGGACTGGGAGGTGTCGTGATGGACAAGGGTGCTGGACTCCCACAGGGCCAACCGCAGCTTGGGCCCCGGACCTGGCAGCTTGCTCTTTACGACTTTCCCTTTCTCTCTCTGTCTCTGGTCAAATTAAAAAAATAATAACAATAAATGGTCTGTATACTTTTACCAGTTTGTGTTTTGCTGAAGTAGATGAAAAAGATACTCAAACTAGCTTTCTCAATAGATGTTAAGAAGTGCCTTGGGTGATCGAGTTAAAGATAAGACTGACCATAAAGAAGATGACACTGGAAACGAAGAGGTGGAGAGCGGAAATGAGGAGGCTCTGTCTCAGCACAGTGACAGCATCATGGAGTATGGGCCAAAGAAGCCACGGCCAGGTACTTCTGCTAGAGAGGCTTAGAGTAGGGCACCCATGTGAGCTGTAAGGTACTTCTAGTTTTTGTTTTGTTTTGGTTTGGTTTGGTTTTTAGATTTTTGCCATAGGGTACATGTGCTCATGGGGGAGAGACAGAGGCAGTGAGAGGGAAAGTGAGAAATCACCCCCCAGGTGTAATGGCCATGCGGCAGTCACTTCTCCATTCTCCTCTTGGGGGAACCAGCAGTTGGCGTAATGGCTATGTCGCTGGACTCTCACGTAGTCGACTGCGGTTCGTGTCCCGGACCCGGTGGCTTAAAACTCACGCCGGGCGCGTGTGCGTGCGTGCCCAAGATCCCAAGAGGAGAATGGAGGAGAAGGGATTGTG